TCCACGGATGCAGAAGATTTCAGCATGAGGTAACTTTTTAAAACTCCCATATGAATGTATGTATCAAGTATATAAAAGGGGGATGAAATCTCTCATAATCTTAATTTTCAAAGTGCGAATGCATAAATGGCCAATGAAAATAAAATTTAGCTCCTTTATCAGAAAATTTAAGATAAGTTTTCCTTTTTAGATATTTAAATTTTTGTCTGCATTATCTCCCTTCCATAATGGAAGCAGGTTGATTTGAATATGATTATTGACTTGGTACTATTTCTGTTTTCAATGTGCTCCTTTGTGGTTATCATGAGAAAGTAATATAAGGTGAATTTTGTAATTCTATTTAAAGAAACAATTCATAATTTACCTACTCTCAACTTTTCCTGGTGACCTACAAGTCTTTCTAAATAGGTCTACTTTGCTGTCAGTCAGCATCTGTTGGGTAACTAAAAGGTGTCAGGCATTGTATCGCTTAGAGTTGATACTCTGTCTCCAAAGTGGTCATTTGATTCATTCAATCATATGGGGATTTAAATTTGTGATTGGCAATATTCACATAACTCCTTCCTGGCTAGAAAAAAAGAACAAGAGTTGAAATAGTTGATCTATAAATTCCTCACTTCCTTTTTCCTCCCAACTGAAAACCATGGCATTTAGCAGGAATGAATGCCATGAAATGAAAAATGAAGACACATTATGTTTTTACTACAGATTTTATGTCTCCTAGGCTCCAGATATTCATATCCCTATCAGCAGATAACAGCCAGTCAGGTTTATACTTTCATGAAGTATTAGAATATTTTTACTTGGAAAAATGAGTGATTAATTTTGCTTCTTTTAGCTCACTTCCATCAAGTAAACTGATCAGAATTCTTCGAATGTCTGATCCCGAAAGAGGCCAAACTACGCTGCCTTTCCAGCCTACACTGACGCAGGAGGAGAGGAAGACCGATGCTGACTGACAGGCCGCCGGGCCCCTCGTGCTGAAGGGGTTGTAAAGGGAAAGTGGTTCAGCAGTATTTTTATTTGATGACATAAAATGACACTGAAGATACTCTGAAATAAAAGAAACTTCTTTATATATCTGACTATAATAAAATATGTAAATAAGCCTAGAAAACCAGCTACAACCAGCAATTTCAAATTACTGTTATTTTACTTTGAGAAAATCAGTTTCATGGTAGTGGTTTAAAATCTTTTTGTTTGTTTGTTTTAACCATCTACTTTCATTGATTCTTTTTCAGAAGTGAAATATTGTACATATGTACATGTACGTATTTGTTTGGATTCATTTCTGTAGTATTTTGTAAGAGTTAAAATAAAAACTTGAGCACCTGATCACATTTAGCTTTGCTTTTCAAGAATATTACATTCTCATTGCAGAGGGTGGGGGCACACAGGTGAGGTGGTCTCTGGATAGGGACCAGTTTATGGTGGATTTATTGTACATTTTCCTTATTTCTTATGAGGGACCTACGTGAGACTATGAAAGCTTGGGTCAGTCCCTGCACAAGTCTCTCTTAACTCTACCTATACAGTTACAGATTTGAGGTGTAATTGTATTCCAGCAAATTTCAGATGCTATTTATAAGACACTTCTGTGGACCACTAAATCTCTGCCAACTCTGACACATGCTTTTCTCTCAGTCCTTCTACCCATCGTGCCCCCAGCTAACCCATGTCAGAACTGGATTATGGCCCAGCTCTGCATGCTGACCTGCGCTGTGCTTGCCTGGTTTAAAATCCGTGTGTTCGCAGTCCAGGGGCTCTCAAGCTCTGGCTCAGCTGGAAGAGGACACAGGCCAGAGGGACTGTGTAGACCTGGTGACAAGAAGGCCGGGAGAATCGGGATGCAGGGTGGTTCCGCATGGAGCAGGAGGCGGCCAGGAGCCAGAGGCCAACCTGTGGATGGCGAGCTGACGTCACTTATAAGGCACACCCTGATTACAGCTTTGTTAAAAAGTGTGCTTCTTAGAATAAAATATATTGTTAGAAATAGAATTTATGTTTTTTTTTTCAAAGAAAGCAGGAATAGGATTCCTGTCTGTATTCTCTGTGTTTGCTACTAGGATTAGTGTTAACCTTTTTAAAAGATATAGATATCCAACAAGAAGCATTGCCTATACTGTTGGCAATCCATGTTTATGAAATTGAAAAGGAAGTAGTTTAAGAAAGAATTGTAATATTTTAAAAACATACTGAGAAAAACTGGATTTCGTTTTTTATATTGGTGGAGGAAGGGAGTCTAATTTGGTCTTACTTTGAGATCATTTGGCAAATGAGAAGTCCAAAACTTGTGCTTTTCTAGTCTGAGAACTTACAGAAAGAGGAAATATATGCTGAATGTTTTACACGTTCCCCACTAACCGAAGTCTGACTTTTTAAAGTTACATGTATAACTAATTTGTACCAAAACTATTTTAACATGCATGTGCTGTTTCAAATAAAAAAAAAAGTACCAAATGCATAAACTTAGCTTAGTAATGTCAGTGTCTGAATTTCTGTGGTATTTATTTGAATGTGATGGTCTCTAAGACAGAATGGGAAATAGAATCCTCAGGTGCCCAAGGTTTCTTGTTGAGTGGAAGATTGGTCATTACTTCCTATACAGTGAAAATGTCTTCAATTAATAATAATATTTCTACTAGTTCTAATTAATAGGTACATTAATTAGTATAAAAGAAAAATATTTTCTTTTAAAATATGTGTGACTTGTAAAAGTAAAACTTTATATGTGCTGAGTGATTTGAATATATCATAGAGCTGAAAGTCCTCCACCCCCATTTTATCATCAGTGCAGCTCCGACTGACTGAGGGATAGAGCCTGAGACCAAGGGAGAAGTGCTCCCTCGGCCTCTTAAATCCTACCTGCTCGAGACTTTGGGGTGAACATGACTATAGACATTTGTGATGAGGTTAGGACACAAAGGTGTGCATAAATAATACAGTTACTCAAACATAATCCACACTAAAGACTTCCTATTTCTTAAATATTTTCCAGATTTTACTTCTTCCATCCATTCCTCATGATTTTTTTTGCATGCCTTCAACATGTGGGGAGACCAAAATGCTGCCTTTCTCAATAAGAAACTGTTGGCGGGACTCAGGAGCTCCACCAGAGGTGTCCACTCCCATGAAAACCAAGTGCTCAGACTATCTTGATTAGAAGTCCTGACTACTAATTAGATGTGGTACAAATTAGTATAAATAATTATACCCTGAGGGATTTTATGGTTAGATCCGTGACACCTATACAGATACCTATACTTTGACCAACTCAGATTTTCAGGAGAACTGGTCTGAAACTTACAGTTTAAAAAGTTGAAGCAGTTCCTGATATTTCATGACTTGAATTAAATGACCATGGACTTGAAGATATATCAAAATATTATTAAATGGGAATATTCTTTGTTCTTTAAAGGGTGGGAAAGTAATAATGTGGATATAAATTAGCTGCATCTTTGAGTCAAGTGATATTTTATTTTTAAAGTGTATGTAATACTGATACCTAACCTGTTACATTTTGGCTAGGGCATCTGGGTAGAATCCATAGAAAGAAAGTAAAGTGGCCTGAAAATATTCAACTCATCAGCAACCTCAGGTGGGTTTTTGTTGCTTAATTTTTCTCCAGTTTAAGGATGTAGAGATTAATTCATTCAAAAATGATTAAGTTCCTGCCATGTGCTAGAAACTCTTCTAAGCACTGGAAATACTATCGTAACACTAAATGTGTCCTCATGGAACGTAAGGACAGTTAGGGAGACATTGCACTGTGTTTAATTTCAGACCATGGTAATTTCTATCAGTATTGATAAAGCAGGGTGAGGAGAATGGGATGCTGTGGTATTTCAGATGGAGCACTAAGGAAGGACTTCAGAAGGCGATGTTTAAGCAGAGGCCTGGAACAAGGAGAGAATGAGCTATATAGGAAGATGGGCAGCAGTTCCAGGCAGAGGAAATGAGTCCAAAGCCCATTGGGGAAGAATGAGCTTCCTGTCCAGGCATCAGAAGGCCAGTGTTGCTAGAGCTTCATTCGCAAAGGGGATGGCACAGGGTTGAGATTCAGAGGTGGACAGAAAAAGGCAAGATCATTCACGGTCCTAAGCAAGGTTTCAGATCTGGACTAGAGAGCATTTTCAAAGAATCCTTGGCTGATGTGTGAGTAGGTGGGGGTAAGAGTTTGGCAAACCTGGAAGGAGCAAGCAATTTGGAGACTTTGGCAGAGGTCCAGGTTAGAGACCACAGTGACTTGGACTAAAGTAGTGGAGAGAGAAGCGTTCAAACTTGCAGTCTGTAGGCAGTGGGACTTGCTGATGGGAATATTGTGGAGTTGTGAGATGAATCAAGGATAATTTGCCTGGGGCCTAAAAAACTGGATGAATGATGGTGCCATTCATAGAGATGGGGAAGATGTTGAGGAACAGAGGTCACTGGGTAGCTTTACACTGGTTAGTGTACAAATGGAAAACTCTTAACATGACTTAGGTTCTAGAGATCCAAATTCTGTGCCCTAAATAGTTGGGAAACTTAATTGCCTACAAGAAAATACCTCAGGAGACAGTGTCATTTTATTTAGAAGCTCTAGTTGACTGTCAGCTTCTCTCAATCCTTGCACATCCTTTGCAATAAGGCTCTGAAGACTTATGTTTAAGTGTGTTTTACTCCGTGATATGATTTCCAACTGGTGGAGGAAAAATCATCTGCCTCTTTAAGAAAATAGTTCATATTATTTACCCGGAGACTGATCCTGAATGCAAGATTACAAGAAAAATGAAGCCTTAAGGCAATGTGATTTCCTTTTTAAAATAGTTTAGAGTTCTTCAAGAAAAAAGAAAGGAAATATGGAAATTTAGGACTTTGAATGCAGAAGTTGAAGCTAAATAAAAGACATTTGAGGGTACTTGCCTTTGAGAACAGCAGCAGGAGTTGAACAGCTAATTAACATGGTAATTAAATTAGCAGTGGAATGTAAGCTAGAACTAATAGAACCCAAGCCTGCTTGAATGATTAGAAGAAGCCTGTAGTTGGTCCTGTTCCAGGAACTGCCTGGCTGGTTGGGGTGTGGAGTCTGAGGACCCCGGGCTGACGGTGTGTGTTTACTGGAGCTCAGTGGCAGCCGGTTACGGTAAACCCGTCCTTCAGTTCGTGGGTTGCTTTCATCAGTGGGCCCTGTGGCGGTGCTTTCCTTTTATGTCCATTCTTCATTCCTTGTGGCGGGTTGTATTTTCTAAACATAGGCACAGTAGATCCCTGTGTTCTTCTAAACTTTGACTTGCAGAGTCTGATCTCCTCCTGCCTAATCTGAGCAGACTTGTACCTCACTTAAAACCCATAAGACGCAGTGGACATGACACTGTAACTCCTCAGACTGTCTGGAAAGGCAATGGGAAGTGAAAATCCCGCCTGGGGCCCTGGAATACTCAGGCTGCATCGCTGGGCTGTGGTGGAAGCAATCTGATGTCCCGAGGCTGCCGTGGGGTGAGGACGCCTAAAGCAGCCTGTGCGGAGAAACCACACCGAGGAGTCCTAAGACCACGTGGGAGATGCCTTGCCAGCCCCAGCTGCTCCAGGGCCCCGTTTCAGCACAAGCTGGGCTAGATGATTGCAGCTGCATGAGAGCCCCAAGCCAGAATCCTCCATGTGGGCTCTTCTCAAATCCCTGATCCGCAAAAGCCATGGAAAACAATAAAATTGTTGTTTCTGTTTTAAGCCACTAAGTTTTGAGGATGAGTTGTGGAGCCACTCCCATTACTATCCACCTGCTAGTTTCTCATAATGGGAGGTTTGCTTTTGTCTTATATGATTTGTTGTTCTTTTGTGAGAATACATTTTTCATTTATATATATTATACTGCACAAAAAGTTTTGTTCTTTTATCCCCCTTTCAGCATTTTAAAAATGCTGCTGTATATGCCATCATCTGTCAGCTTCCTGCTGACACCAGGGGATGCATCCAGCACGTTTTACTTCCCTGCCCCTCTAGTAATGAACTAGATTGCCTCCAATTCCCACACCACAGACAGCTGCCACAGACATCCCAGGACCTGTCCCAGCACGGCCCTCTGTGAGGGCTTCTCGGGCAGTATACCTGCGTCAGAGGGCATACGTGCACTTCCTCTGACAGGTGCTGCGGGGCTGCGCAGGAGGTCACTGCCCTGGTCTACACCTGAAGACTACAGCAAGCAAACAAGATGCTCACTTGCTGGCCCAGTTTCTACACTGGATTTTAAGGACCAGTTAGTCGGCTTGAGGGTTCGTTTTCCATTAGTGCTGGAATATCCACGTGGCTCACTTCATTCAGGTCTTAAATGATTATGTCACCTAACCAATCATGCATTTCAGCACTCTGCCCCTCTTAGCTTGCTGTGCTTTTCTTCATCGTTCTTACAGTTTGTGTGTGTGTGTGTGCATCCGCGCATGCTTGGTTGTCTGTCTCCCCGCATAAGGCTGGGTTAGGTGCACAGCAGGTGGTTCGTGAAGATTGGCTGTGAATGCACCGCTCAGAGCCTGACTTAACCCAGTGCCACCCCAAGGAGCCTCCCCACTGCTCGCCCCACCCCGCCCATCCTTCATCCCAGGAGAGAATATTAGGAGGCTCTGAACCTCTCCCATCTCTCCCCGCCCTCACTCTGGGCTCGCCAAGTGCGTGGGTTAAGACACCAGAATGTTCTATTAGCCCTTGGGACTGGTCTCTCTACGGGCAGAAATTTGGTTTGTCAGTGTTTAGGTACCATCGGTGTCCTGAGTGGGGTGAGGTTTGCTTGCTCACAGTCTCTTGTTGAATGTATGAATGGAATCATTAGGCCCTGGTCTCTGGTTTTAGGTAGAAGATGGGAAGAGTATTTAGAAAATAAAACATTCAATAAAAAGTGAATAATATCACACTGTACTGTCTGATACTATAGCTATGAGCAGCATGTGGCAAATTTTTAGCTCAGTCAAAATGAAAAATTAAGCTTCTCAATCATCCTGGTCACACTCGAAGTGCTCAGTTGCCCCGCGTAGCTGGTGCAGATATGTTGACATCCGCGCCGAAGGTCTTTTGAACAGCACTGTCGAAAGAAACTCCTAGGCATGTTCTGAAAATACAAACCTTCCTTCGAGTTCTTGAAAGAATCTCTCCCTCCTTCCTTCCTGATGGTAAAAGGGTCAGAGTTTTGTTCCATCATTAAAACTTGTGATTTGGAAGGACAGAAATGGACCCTCCAATGTTTGTGCCTCATTCATTCTTTTGAAGGACACATCTCAGCCTGCTAAATGTGACTTTACATAGCTGTGTGGAACACAATGCCTTGTTAACACCACAGTCACACTGAGATACAATTTATTTTCATATACTGAACATTTTTTTAGCACGAACAAATGTTACGTCTTATTCAAACTTTACATGCCATATTAATTGTCTTCTTTCGAGGGCCAGGATGAAGAGTTGGGAAGTTGCTTTTTTCTTCTTTGATATTAATTCTTTGAATTCCAAAGTTGTATGTTAAAGGTAGATTTGGTAAGTTGTTGCTAGCTGACCCTTGATGGTTATGAACATCTGTTTCAGATTTAAAATTATGAAATAAGAATTGAGGGGAAAAGGTCAAATGTTATAAATTTATTTGGGACATCTATTGCCACCTCTTTGGAAGCCTTTGAAAATTCAAACAGAAATCAATACACTTGTATCTTTTTTCCTTTAACATTCAATAAATAATATCTTTCTGTGTATATGTATATATAGATATACTTAATGAGTCATTTAGCAGGATTTTTAAGTTTTATACTAAATTCCAATACAGCTCTTTCCAGACTGGTAGGATGCAAATGAGGTAAGAATTAAGGCAAACCTAAAAGGCATGCAGATGTAGTATATTTATATTCACTGGTAATACAAGGTCTTGTGTGTGGACTACATAGAGGGGCTTGGCTCCTGTGTGTATCTGCCCAGTGCTATTTTATAGAAGGATGGTGACACAGCTTGTCATGAAGTTACATTACCATGGGGTGGGGGTGGGGGGTCTCCGTGCTACTCACATTATGTAATCAAGGAGACACAAGCATTAGCAAAACATGAACAAGAAACCATATAACTCTTTGCAGCACATTTCTGCCCAGGCTTTGGAGGAGAAGGAATTGTTTATGAAATGGTATTACACATATCACATTGTGGCAGGTTGTCTGTCTGTTTTATAATATATGCTTTTAAAATTCATTAGCAAATGACATTCTCATGCACACAAGTGTTTCAAACACAAGAAGCAGTCCATTTATAGGTAGTCCAAGCAATATTTGTGTGTGTGTGTGTGTGTGTGTGTGTGTGTGTGTGTGTGTGTGTGTATGTGAATAGCTGCAGACTGAATGGAACATTGAGACTTTTGTGCAGTCCATAGCGTTGCCCTCAGCTCATTTCTGAATGTCGCACTGCAGAAGTAATACGATGGAAGGGTCGCTCTTTGCAGCTTCTTTGAATTCATCCAGTGTAATTTGGTCATCTTTGTTCTTATCCATCTTGCTGAAAATCTTATCTACTCGCTGCTCGGGTGTGAGGCCATCCTCATTCATTTTCATCATGATCACAGTGCCCACCATTTTGTAGATGGCCTGGGAAAACAAGAAACAGACCATGAAGCTCTCCTTTGATAGGATAAAGAACTTACATATACTTCAAAGGACTCTTTAAGTGGTTTCAAATGACAAGGATATAATCAAATATGTGTGAGGCCAGTTGGCTATAGAAGAATTTTGTGTGACTCCCAGGTTTCCAGCTGGAGGAACTGCATAGAAAGAGTAGCTCAGTGGTCAGATCAAAAGCAATGGATTCAGGACATTCAGGGGGAGAATGAAGAGTTCAGTTTTAAACACTGAGAGTTTGAGATGCAGGTGATATAGTCGACGAGCATTAGCCCTTGGAGATTGAGGAAAAGATGAAATGTGGGCCCAACTGAGGAATTAAGGAACTTAAAATCTGTGAAGGCAGTGAAGCAAGGTGGACCAGTAAAATCCAGTCTTGAAAGAAGCTAGTTTGGGAAAGTGGTGGATCAGGGACTCTGCTCATAAGGTAAAGAATAGGAAGATTTCAATTTTATGCAATTAATTCTCAATATGCAAATTAGGACCTAAGTAGAAACTTTTTGTTTTAGGCGGGTGTCTTAAAAAAATACATGTCCACTACACAAAGACTTGTGGCATATGGTCATAGCAGCATTAATAACAGCCAAAACGTAGGGACAACACAGATGCTCATTATCTGGTGAACAGATAAACAAAATATGACATAGCTATAGAATTGAATACTATTTTAATAGCCACAGAAAGGAGTGAAATACTGATAAACCTAAAACACAGTTAAGAAGCCAGACACAAAGACCATATATTGTATGATTACACTTAACATGAAATGCTCAGAAAGCAAATCCTTAGAGACCAAGCAGATAGGTAGTTTCCAGAGTCAGGGGTGGGAATGGGCAGGGTGCATAAGGGATTTAATAGGGAGAATGAAAATTTTCTACAATTGTATTAGGGTGATGGTTGCATACTAGTTTTACTAAAAATTGCACAAAGTGGGTTAATTTATGGTCTAAATTGTAACTCAGTGAAGTTTTTAAAAATGGCAATTAGAGAAGTCATGAGCAGTATCTTATGCCCACAAGATAAAGCTAGTTTGAGGCAAAGCAGAGCTAAGCCAAGGGCCAGAGAAACTGAGTCCTGATAATACCCTCTGTGCCCAGTGGGCTTATGTTTGTGGCAGATCTGACAGCGTGAGCAGCTGGTTAAGATGCCCACTGTTAGTGGACAGGGCCCAGCAGCTTGGATCTGTGACTTTTCCCAACATTGCCCTGGAGCAGGGGGCCAGGGTGAGTCAAGGCTTGGCATGCAACTAGCAGGGCTCCCGGCAAGGAAGGAAAGAAGCCACCACAGGCCGGTGCCCAGGAAGCTTCTTCCTGGAGTGTCTGCCCTCTGTGCCCTGTAGCGCAGGTGCTGGCCGCTCACCTCAATGATCTCCAGCATCTCCACTCGGGTGATCTTGCCGTCGCCGTCCAGGTCATACATGTTGAAGGCCCAGTTCAGTTTCTGCTCGAAGCTGCCCCTGGAGGTGATGGACAGGGCGCAGATGAACTCTCGGAAGTCGATGGTGCCGTCCCCATTCTTGTCAAAGGTGCGGAAGGCGTGCTGGGCGAACTTGGAGGCATCTCCGTAGGGGAAGAACTGCAAAGCAGAACACACAAGCTCATGCAGGGAGGTGAGAGGGTCGCAGGCCCCACCCGGGCTGAGGTCTCAGCCGGGAAACACTGTGCTGACAGCACTGCGGGTGCTCCCCCACCCCTCCATGCTGCAGGTGGAGGGGTCAGGCTTGCCTGTCTGGATAGCAGTTGGCCCGGCCGATGCTCAAGGCCAAGGGCAAGCACAAGGAGGCCATCTCGGCGTGTCTGCAGAGACACCCGGCTGTTTCCTGGCGGGGAGGCTGGTGACATGCGGCCTTTGTGTTGGCGGGGCCTAGAGGCAGGCCACTAGAGCCCTCATTAGTGGCTTTCTGATCACCCCCTGACAAGGACAGCAACAGGCAGGAAGCTGTACGGTGGTGGTGCAAGAGCTTCCACACTCCTCTCAGTGTGAAAACCTAGGTTCGCCTCCAGGGGGGCCGGTGCGAGGTTGCCCAGACCTGGTTTCCCCTCCCACTGGCTCAGACCCCCACCTGGCACTTACCAGCCTGGGTGTGGTTCCAGTGTCCCATTTCTTTTTACAGGGACTTTTGTAGAACAGACATTTAAAACCCATTAAAAATAGAACATGACTGGGCTTGTTTCTGAGAAACAGAAAAAGGTTTCTTCTTTGAGCCAACAGTTGGCAAGGGTGCTGTGGAGACAGAGAATGGGCACAGGAGGAGGACTCGCAGAGCCGAGAGGGCAGGCCCCCGAGAGGGAGGCGGTGGCTCACCTGCACCCCAGCCTAGGCCCCTCACAAAGGACAGGTGGTGCTGATACCTGACCCTCTGCCCAGCAGCTGAAGGGCACTCTTCAGGTGGGCACTAGAAAACAACTCTCAAAACAAAAGCAAAAAACAAACCAGGTGCTGTTTTTAAGGCAGAAGAGTTACATGTGTGTTTCAGGGTGAGTACAGCCAGCCGATACAAGTTCAAAGCCAATTTCCAAGGCTGTCACTCCCCCTTTCTTCCTAAGCTTCACCGCTTTGCTTGTGAGCAGCTCCATCCAGAAAGCCGGCCGCACACCCAGCCTGGGGCTTTCTCCCTTTTGGAGCCTGTCTGGGCACACCAGCCTCCCAGCACCTTGGTGTCCACCAACCAGGAAGTTCCTCAAACCCCACAGTTGAAGGGTTTTGTGGAGGTTTGGTAACATAGGCATGATTGTTCTTCATCCCTTTCTGCTGTTTGCAGATGTATTTATCTTCCTTGCAGTCAGGGGCCTGGGCAGAGCTGGTCCCTGTGAAAGGGCAGAGCGGAGCAAGCCCCGTGCCCACCTCCCGTGTCTCTGCAGAGCAGTTTATCCACTGGCCTTCTATGTGCAGTGCCATGAGATCACTGGGCATTTTTCTCCATCCCTGGGGGTTGCCTGGTAGTGCAGTGCTTTAACCACTGTAGTTCATGGCATACTTTAAAGTTTAGGGGAGATCTGATAGTTGAGATAAAGATAGCTGGGCTCCTTAGGTCAATATATGAAAAATCAATTTAGATCTGAAAATTCTTGAGGAAAAAAATAGATTGTAAGTTTTGAGCTATAAAAGCTACATGTGCCTTGCAGAAGATCTATTTAGGGGCTTTTATAGCCAACATGATTGACTGAGGAGACCTGAGTGTGAGCTCAAGGGCCCTCACCTGTCTGGAGGGATTATTTCCTGTAGAATTCCATCTTATCCTGTTCTGAGTGCTCTGAGTTTTTCTAATCAGCTCCTTCTTTTCATGAAATGATTCAATTCTGGGTGAATCACCATAGAAAAATGAAACCACACTCCCTTCAACCTCTTTAGGAAGAAATTAGGGTCTTGAACTCCTATTTCCTTCTGTAAGAGGACAGTAGTGCCTGAGAAGTGCAAATATTTTTACATATTGTTGCTTGAAGTGTGTGGTATTTATTGCCAGCTTCCCGCTTTGCCCTCACAAGGTAGAAGGGCAGGGGAGCTCTGGGGGTCTCTTTTATGAGGACACAATCCCACTCATGAGGGCCCCACCTTCAAGCCCTAACCGCCTGGCTAAGGCCCCATCTCCTAGCACACCACCGCTTTGTGCCCTAAGTTTCAACATATGACTTGGGGGGACATAAACACTGAGTCCATAGCAATGTGTTTGAAAGAAAATAAATTTAGTTTGAAAAAGTTGAGAAACTGTATTAGATGATCTAACATAGCTAGTCTTCAGTAAATTTCCAGGTCGTCTTTTATGCCTTTGTCCAAGTACACTTTGTTTTCCTACTTTGGGTCAAAATTTAAATCAAGTATACACTGTATTTCCATTAAAAGAAAAAAAAAGCCATCTGGGATGCAGCTGCAGACGGTTAGCTGAGCCCGCCGACTGGAATCCAGGATCCCTGCAGCTGGGGGAACTTCCCATGAAGCTGTGTGGCGTGGCTCTGGGAGGAATCCTGCGAGGTTCGGCAGCCTGCCCTCCAGAGGGCACGGAGAGAAGGCTCCTCTTTGGAGAGCAGGGCATGGGGTGGGGCAGCATCTGCTTCAGGTTCTGAGCAGCAGAGCCTTAGGCATGATTTGCAGGGTGAGAACCACACCATCGGCGCCAATCTGCACAGGCATCTTGCAGGTGGAGGTGAGTGGCCAGGTCCTGGGTTCCTGGTGGAAGGTGATGGCCAGCCTGGGTGGCTCACCAGAGGCAGTGTCCTTGGGCCTCCCAAGGGTCCCTTTCTCAGGTCCACATCCCTGGGTGGGCCCGCAGCCCATTTGCTCCCACACTTGGGTGCTCAGAGCTTAGTAGCAGGAGGTTGGCAGCAGGTAGGGGCAGGAAAGACCCTCTGTACCCTGCTAGTGAGACACTGACCTCACGGCCACGCAGTGGTCTGTCCCAGTCACAGGGACAGTCCTGTGCCCCAGCTGTGCTCTGGGAAAATGGGCTCTAGAGGCCGCTGGCCTGTAGGGGGACCAAGGACCAACTTCCCAGTGTAGCATGGTGTCCACAGGAATATGTCGCTGCGGTGCTGGAAACAAGCGTACAGAGGAATGGTAAGGGCACGCCCTCTTTCCGGCCAGGGGCACCATCACCTGTGTGCGGAAGCCAGGCGGTGTTTCCCCAGTCCACGGTGCCCCGCGCTTTCCTGCCTCTGCCCGCGTGGCTTCTCCCGACCGTCGGACCCTCCCCTCCTGCTCAGTTCTCCCTCTTTCCCAGCATCTGAGGCACAGCCCGGATGCCCCCTTCTCCAGGGCCTTTTCTCTGCAAACACATCCTGTTGTCAACCATCTCTCCTTGTATCTGGACTATTTTCATCTGGGCAGCTTTCTTCTGCAGGATGTAAACTCCTTGGTTCGCTCAGCTCTGTTCCCAGCACAGTCTTTGTAACCTGATGAGAAAGCTGTGGCTTGCAGTAAAGGGGCCCCTGAGGATGGAACCTTGGAAAGGAGGAAAGGCCAGCCCCACAGGCCTCCTGGTTCTGCTGTGCTCGGCCCTGCATGTGGACCAGAGAGAACAAGGAATGCACAGCCGTCCTGCCCCATGGGAAGGGCACGGGCTTTCTGGACAGGCCCAGGAACAGGGCTTCTCAGCAGATTCCACAGGGGAGTGGTGCAGAGTTGCTGGGGATGTCTGCTCTCCTCCTGACTGACAGGCAGAAGGTGTATTTGTCCCATGTCATCCCTTGGACTGGTTTTGGAAGTTTCAGAGATGTCTTCTGGGCTACACATCTTTCCTCCCCAGGGTGCTGGGATGAGGCCTGGCCATGGTGCAGGCCTCAGACTCGGGGCTGCTGCAAAGCAGTGCTGTGTCCTCTTCCTGGGGGTGGCCAGGACCCTCTCAGACGGTGTGTATGTTTTGGGGCTGGGTCACAGCCAAGCTCTGAGCCTGCAGTGGGGCTATGGGGACAGCAGACTCAGAGCAGGTTGCCTGCAGCTCCACATTCAGCGACTCCCATCAGCAAAGCCCTGGGGGGTCAAGACTCCTGCCTCTCCTCCCGTCTGGCCTCCCCTTCAACTCTCTGTCTGGAGAGACTCTCACCGTTTAGCCCTTCTCTCCCTGCTGCCTTGGCCAGAGCCACGTCACCTCGCACAGAGTCAGGCCACAGTCTCATATGTGCCCCCTGCCTCTGCAGGGCCAACACTCAGAGCCACATTTATCTTCCCGAAAATGACATGGCTCAGTTGGTGTCATTCCTCTACACAGAGACACTCGGAATCAAATCCAAACTCCTTCACCTGCCATGTGCGAGCTTCTATGTGCCCCCATATGTGCTTTAAATACAGTGCAGCCCGCGTCTCTCTGCTCTCAGGCCCAGCCCTGCAGAGGCTCCCGTTTGCACATGGGCAGCTCTGAACTCGTAACCATGCTGCCTGTAGCTTACATGGTTGCCCTGACCTGCATTCAGGTCTCTCCCGCCTCTATTTCTTGTGCCCCTGTGCGCTGTTTCCAGGTGTTGCAAACATGCCTCTTCCCTTCCTCATCCCATCTCATCTTGGCCAGTCAAACAATCCCACCTTCTCTTCGTGTCCAGCTCACAGGCTCCACCTCCAGGAGACCTTCTTGACTGGATTGCATCTCTCCCTGCTTGGTCTGTGTTTCACTTATTTCAAGAATACTCTCTCCAAACCCTCTGCCTGAGACTACGGTCAGTTCCCTTCTTGCCCACTCTGGCCTGCGGGCCCAGGGCTCAGTCTGTAGTCTTGCACATCTTTGCATTATCATTACATCATTTCTTTCAGCAGCTCACCGTCACCTGTGAAATGGGAACACTCCTGCGTTAACCAAATGCATCTGTGCTCCTGGGAGGAAAGACAAGCCTTTCACTACACCTGGATGATGATAAAAAATATTAACAATCTTAACTCATTAAAATGTCAGCTCTCCCATTCCCACAATTCCTTATCCCCTTCACTGCCTTACTTCTCTCCAAAGAGCTGACCATCATACAACATATGTATATACACTGACCATCTCCCTTGATGAGAAATGTAATCTCTGCAAGGCAGAGGGCCTTGGCCATTAGGCTGTTTTGCTCCTTGGCTAGTTGCTCAATCATTCTTTAGTGAATGAGTGAAGG